TTTTTATTAATCTACATTAATTATCTTCTAGACTCAATTTAATAAATTTTATTTTTAAGAAATATTAATCATCATCTTATATTAATGATGATAATAATGATTTATAAACCATTCCTAATTAATCTAATAGACTTAATTAAGAGTTCTCAAAATTTATATAATAAAGTTAATTACTTATGCAATTACAGCCTGCACCTGTAACACCTTGGGTACCATCGACAATCAAGGCTGCAACGTGGTTACCGGGGAGTGTACGTGTAAACGATATGTCACAGCACGCGATTGCAATCAGTGCTTGCCGGAATATTGGGGATTGTCCGAGGACCGCGATGGATGCAAACCGTGCGATTGCGACCCTGGTGGCTCCTACGAAAATTCTTGCGATGTCATCACCGGTCAGTGCAGATGTAGGCCGCATGTCAGCGGGAGAACTTGCAATCAGCCAGAGCAGAGTTACTATACCGGCTCGCTAGACTTTCTCATTTATGAGGGAGAGTTGTCCAGAGCTACTGACGTGAGTTCACTAAATATAACAAGGGGAAAGTAGGATAATTGTGTACGTCCTGATTTGGTACTTTCCCCGATAGGTAAAAGCTCCACCACTGTTTTCAGATCAAAATAAAAATTCTTTTTCAGAATTGTCAAGTAGTGATCAGAGAACCCTATCGCGATGGTAGGAATAGCACATGGACTGGCACAGGTTTCATGAAAGCCATCGAAGGTTCAATGTTGAATTTCACCATCGATGACATTCGCAGATCGATGTGGTACGATGTCATCATACGATACGAGCCAGTGCAGCCGGGTGTTTGGGAAGACGTGCAGGTTATTCTTGAGAGAGATAGTCCACCGGATCCTACAGGACCATGTACTGATTGGAGACCCGAATATGATCGTTTGTGGGCTCAATTACCTTTGCGTTCAAAAAGCGCCATAGCGCAACCGTCTATATGTCTAGAAACAGGGAAGCGATACAATCTTCTGTTGCAATTCCGCAAGTTCAACAGCCACGTGGACACACCTTCGGCCTCCATCTTGGTTGATTCGGTAATACATTTTATTTCGATTATTACTTTATCGTAAAAATGGTATCTATTTCATCGTATAATCTATCCGTCATATATCTCGCATGTGTTTGTATGATTTCTGCAGGTTGTTCTAAAGCCGAGAATAGACGTGATACCCTTCTTCAAGACGCCGGGTCTGGGTGAATTGCGTCGCCAAGAATACGAACATTATCATTGTAATGAATTGTTCAACGACGTCAACAGTGTATGGAGTAATATACCTGAGATCTGTAGAAAGTACCAGAATAGTATTGGCTATTACGTCTTCAATGGTGCTCATTGTAAGTTCAGTCACGTGTTATCGTTTACTCCCCTTTCTTAAATAACATTTTTCAATTTCACTTTATTTGACGTTTCTCATTTAATTTCACATTAACAAGAACACGACGTTCTGTAAATTGTAGCCTGCGAGTGTAACCCGACAGGCTCTCGTAGTCTTCTATGCGAGCACTACGGTGGAATGTGTCCGTGCAAAGCAAATGTGGTTGGCAGACGTTGCGATCGTTGCGCACCAGGAACCTATGGATTTGGTCCTGAGGGATGCATCCCTTGCGACTGCGACGGAGTCGGCGCCCTCGACAATTTCTGCGACGTCGAAACTGGCCGTTGTAAGTGTCGACCCAACACTTACGGCAGGACCTGCGGTCAGTGCGAGCCTGGCTTCTGGAACTTTCCACACTGCCAGCGTTGCGAATGCCACGGGCACGCGGATAATTGTGATTCGAGAACCGGAGCCTGCATCAATTGTCGAGATTTCACCACCGGACACAATTGCGACCGTTGCGTCGATGACTTCTATGGTGATCCGCGGATTGGCGCAGATATACCTTGTAGAGCATGTCCTTGTCCAGGTGGGTACAATTGTGAAAGAGATTTTATATATAATTTTACATATAATAATTAATCTTTTCGATTTTACTTATCAAAAATTGAAATCTTATTTTCATTAAAAACACTAAACGTTTTTTAACAAAAATATATAAATATTTCTCAAGTTTTTAAAAGAAATAATAACTGTATATTCTATTACTACAATTATATTTTATTTTAACAGGCACACGTGAATCTGGGCATTCTTATGCCAACAGCTGTTCATTAGACTCACTAACGCAGGATGTAGTGTGCGAATGTTTCGAAGGATATTCTGGACCTCGTTGTGAGCACTGCGCCGAGAATTATTTCGGCAACCCGGAGGTGCCAGGTGGTAGCTGTCAATTCTGCAACTGCAACAACAACACGGATTTACGTCGCGCCGGTAATTGCGATCCATACACCGGTCATTGTCTTCAATGTCTCTTCAACACCGATGGTCCCACTTGTGGAGTGTGCAAACCAGGATTCTATGGAGATGCTTTGCGACAGGATTGTCAAGACTGCGGATGTAACGTTCTAGGCACTGATAAGGCTGCCGGACCATGCGACCATCGTACCGGACAATGTCCATGTCTACCACACGTCATAGGACAACTCTGCGATTCTTGCGAGGAAAATCATTGGAGAATTGCTAGCGGAGAAGGCTGCGATCCTTGCGAGTGCGATGCAGTTGGAAGTGTTTCAGATAGGTTTGTCTGCAATATTTTTTTAAAAATAGAAATAGAAGTTTTGCAATTTCTTATATATTCTGCAAAATATATTTTTGCATTTTTTATACGCATATAAAATTTTTGTTTAAATCTTGTCGAGTTTTTATTGAAGAATTAAATGTCAATATTAATTTTATCCATTTTCTTCTTAAATAAGTTGGAAAAATTAATCAATTGCAAAAATTAATTCCAAATAATATGATTTAGGAAAAAGTTCAATTTTCGGTTTCTCGAAAAAATGTAAATGTTAGATTATAATTTAACAGCAAATTAATCCAAGAAAAAACGTGAGAGTGATTGATGAAAATATTTTTGTACGCAGATGCAATCCATACGATGGCACTTGCGAATGCAGGCCAGGATTCGGTGGCAGACGATGCAACGAGTGTCAGACAAACTTCTGGGGCAATCCGAATGTGGAATGTTACCCGTGCGAATGCGATATAATTGGCTCTGCAAGCCAGCAATGCAACAGGGATAGTGGTATATGTATTTGTCATAAGGGTATTGGCGGCGAAAAATGCGATCAGTGCGACCGTGGTTATCATGGCGAGGCACCGCAGTGCAGCCCGTGCGGTGAATGTTTCGACAATTGGGATTTTATATTGGACGGTCTTAGGAACAAAACAAACGCAGTTATTCAAGAAGCTTCAAGGATACAAAAAGTCGGCACGACTGGCGTATACAGCCAGGAATTTGACGATATGGAGAAATCCTTAAATGAGGTGCGAGACTTGATCAGCAACACTACTATTCGTAGCCAAGATCTAGACGCATTGGATAATTTGGCCAATGAGTTGGCGAACAATATTTCGAAATCAGCCAAACAGTTGGAGGAGGCAAATAATCACTTGGACAATCTCAACCAACGAGTGAATCTTGGTGATGTCGCGTTGAAGAAATTGAGGAACAGAACGGACAGCTTGCACGAAGCCGCCGCCGATTTGCGGGAAAATGCTACTAGATTACAAGAGGAGAATGTTCTGGGCGCTCTGAACGTGACTCAGCAAATGGCTGAACAGTCTAGGCAGGCTGAAAAAATGGCAAACGACACCACTAATGTTTTGGCCGACGCGGAACGATTCCGCAAACATACCGAAAATCTCTTGGCGAAGAACCGTGCCTCCGTGGATGAGGCTCAAGAGAGGAATAAAGGATCGTTGATGAATTTGAATGAGAAATTGAAAATGTTCAGTATGGCGATACCTGAACTCAATCTGCGAATGTGCGGCGATAACGTAACGGATTGTAGTACCGTCTGCGGTGGTGCGGGTTGTGGCTTCTGCGGAGGATTATCTTGCGAGGAAGGTGCGGTCAGCAAGGCCAATCAAGCTCTAGATGTTGCCAAGCAGCAGACTGCCAAGATCAAAAGTCACAAGGATGAAGCAGAACAACTATTACGAAATGTAATTATCATTAATTTAGTCTTTGAAAAGTGTTAAAAGTTATTCATGATTTTTACAAAAATTAATCTATTAGTTTATTATATTTAAAGAACAATATACATAAATGCTTATTAAAAAGTTTGATAAATTTCAATTTTTATTGTCTTTATGATTATTATTTTGTGACTCATTTCAATTAATCGGCATTTGCAGATGAGCCAAATCAAGCAAGATGCCACAGCAGCGAGATCCAATGCTCAAGACGCCTTCAATTACGCATGGGAGGCACGCAATCGCTCCGACAAGATTACTAAAGAGCTCTCGGACATAACCAAGCGAATCTGGAGCACTTTAGATGAAGATCAACCCACACCGGCTATGGTGAGAGACCTCGCACAGGAAGTGCTCGCGAAAAACATCCAGCTGGAACCAGATGAAATTACGCGACTCGCCGATCGTATCAAGAGTATCGTAGGCTCTCTCACTGATTCCGAAAAGATTCTGGCCGATACCAAGGAAGATCTACAGTTGGCGCATGATCTAGAGGTACGTGCCAATCGCACGAAGGAGGCAGCCATCGAGAAGCAAGTTTTAGCGAACAAGGTGATCCTGCTGTTAAATGACGCGCAAAGGGCGCAACATCTGGCGCAGGACGCGATCGACAAGGCGGAAGGTGACGTGTTGAAGTCGCAAAAGGATCTCGCAGACATCGCCGACGTGACGAAAACCGCCCAGATTCAAGCTAACAGCACCACTCAATCGGTGGAGGCACTGGACGCTCGTTTGAAGCAACTCCAGACACAGTCGGCAAAGAACGCCTTTATCCTGGCGGAAATTGGCACGGAGGCCAAGAAGGTTGCCGACGAAGCACAGGTGATCGATAGCAGACGAAGAAATTATCAGAAGAATATAAAAGAGCGGACGAATCACTGAATCAGCGAGTGAACAAAAGTAAAGGCGATATTCAACGTGCAAAGAGATTATTGCAGCGTGCCTCCGAGCTGACAGCAGACACATCGACCAAGTCCAAGGATCTGGACGGTATGGAGAGCGTCTACAAAGACAATGAACGACTACTAACAGATCTGATGAGTGACGTAGATGCGCTGACGATGGAAATGGAAAAATATCTGATGGAGATCGAGAAGAAGTCGCAGTTGTATAGACAGTGTTCCGCCTAAATTCATCGCAATTAGTTAGGAAGTTACGTATTTTTCACTCGCGAATTTTATATCCGCAAAATACGATACGTATCGATAACCTCGGTAATTTTTTTCCGTTATTACATTTGACACAGATATTTGCGCGGTAGAATCTCTTGCTCCATAGACGATATCCCTTTCCAGGGTATATCTCATTACCGCATTTAATTGCGAGATTGCGTTAAATCTTGATAAGATCGGTGCTTTATATTTGTGCAATAGCCGTGAGTTTTACCTTGATTTATAGGAAATAGATATATATACACATACGTATTTACGTATTGCATATATATATATATATAAATTTGGCATTCGCAATTTATTCTGCAAAATATTGCGAAAGCGAAGAGATTATTGTTAGTGCCATAAATAGAGGGGCCATTAGTAGCTGTAACTGAAGAAGATTTGTACGTACGGTTAAAATATCGCTTCTCGAAACAAGACACTATCCTTTCTAGCTTCTAAGCTTTGCTAAATTTTCTCTAATCTCTTTTTGCTACTTTTTTATTATTTTTATATTTTTACTACTTTTTTACTTTTATAATAAGATACTCTATATGCGGCTTATTAGTA